GGGCCCGCCCCCGCTGCCACCCGCGGGGAGGGTTAGGTTTGTTTGCTTGTTTGTTAGTTAATAATCTTTTCTTCGCTCCACGCCCCCTTCTCCAAAATTAGAAATCGAGTGGGCAGGCCAAGCCTCACAAAACGCCCCCGCGTGGAAACAAGTGTCTCCTTCGGGCCCCTGAAACGTATTCTTCAAGGAGTCGTCTGAATGTATGCGTGTAGTGTTGGGGGGACTGGGGTAAGGATAAAGCCAGGGGTTCGTGACTGAGGTTGCCAGAATGTCGGGACTGCGAGAGACCGAGCTTGGCGGAGCGCTGCTTCCGAAAGTTATTTATCGTGGTTGTGCTGTGTCTGGGAAGAGACTGAGAAGGAATCTGAAATGTCTGAAGTTGGATGTGGAGAGGTGAAGGGAGAGAGAGCAAAGGGTGACAGGGGAAATGTAGTGATAGTTGGATTGCGGAAGCCACAAGATGCCTCAAGAAACAGTATCAAGGTTCAGGACTATTTTTTAAATCAACTTCAGCAAACTCTTTTATTATTTAAAAAATCTCATCAGCGAAAGTCTAATTCTATCTAAAATCCTAAAATCAGACCCTGATATATTAAGTGATAATGTTCCCTGTACAGTTCTGTCTAAACTAGCTACTCACCTAAGTAATTACCTAATATTTAACATTTAATATTTTATTGTCCTTGGCTGTACTGTATTCTGAAGATCAAGTTAGCACATTTTTTATATTAACTTGGTTAAAAATAATATTCTGCATAAATAGTATTTTAAAAAAGATTGTTTTTTATTTAAAATTAAAATTAAGAGCTTGATAAACTCCCTAATGGAAGCATTTTTATCACAAAGTACTTAAATGTATCTTCATTGATAATAATAATTGAAGAATTTCAAATGTAGAATGCTCTAGAGGTCAGAGTGCCTAGTTTTTGTCCAGACGCTTACACATAAGGCATAGACTACTAAAGTAGTGTACTGATTTTCCTATCTTCTTCTTTCTTGTTTCCTTTCTAAAACATTGCTCCCGATTTATAATACCCAGAACACCTCTGTTTCTTACTGAAATCAACAACTCCTAATAGCTTGCCAATATCCCCAAGATCAAATCTAAAATATAGCTTAACTATCCAGAACTATCATATTATTATCCTGGGCAGTGTATATTTACTGCAAAATAAAGCAGGTGGGTTAGAGTACTTTTAAGTACTTGAAATTTCACTATTAGGGAATCTTTTCTTTGAATCTGTTAGACTTCTCAGCCTTCAAGTGTCCTATACTTAGCAGCTAACAGTTTAATGGCCCTCCAAGATAGATTAGAATGTAGCTAATTGCAGAGAACTGAGAATAAAAGGGAATAAGGGGGAACCAGCAGTTAGCGTAATGGCTATGTCACTGGACTCCCACTAGTCAACCGTGGTTCGCGTCTCAGACCCGGTGGCTTAAATCTCACGCCTAGCGCATGTGCGTGCGTGCCCAAGATCCGAGAGGAGAATGGAAGAGAAGGGATTGCGGCGTGACCATCCCCCCTGGGGGGTGATTTCTCGCTTTCTGTCTCTATGTCTCTGTCTGGCTGGCGAGCGCACGCGCCCTATAGCGAAAACCTATCCAAAAAAAAAAAAAGGGGGGGGAATAAGGGAGGTGCCTAGTAAAGAGGCACTGAGAGGACTGGTCAAATGCCACAGAATAAAATGTGCTACCTTGGACCAGAAGATAGCATAAATGGATACATTGCTAGACTCCCACATAATCGACCTGGGTTCTAGTCCTAGACATGGAGGCTTCAAACTCATGCCAGTCGTGTATGTGAGCAGGGCCCAAAATCTCAAGAGGAGAGTGGAGAAGGAATTGTGGCATGGCCATTCCCCCTGGCAATGATTTCTTGCTTTCTGGCTCTCTGTCTGTTTCTCTCTGTCTCTCTGGGGAGTACGCACACCCTATAGCAAAAATCTCTCAAAAAAAAAAAAAATGCTGCCTTCCTGGTTTTATTCAGGGCCCTTCCAGACCCTGTCCTGTTCCTCCTCTGCTCCCAGTTTCAGTTCTGCCATCTCACCGTGCCATTACTGGCTCTTTGCCCTCATCTTAATTCATGCCTGTTCTTTCTGTCTGTTGCTTTCAGGACCAGCAAAATCGAGCGGTGCCAGAATTCTTCACCCCATCATTCCATGACTCCTGACCACATCCCTTCCACAGTTCTCTGATCTACCACAGAACATCTGTATCATTTATTCTGGGACTGATTTGTGCAATAAATAATATCACTGGCCCCAGAGGGTATGTTTAGCTCAACAGACAGATTGTAAACTGTGAGATTAAAATACATTTCTCAACATTCTTCTTGCACTCCTTATGCTTTCGATACAGTACAGATCCTACAAGAGAGAATGAGCCTTCTGGAGGTAAACCTTCTATTTTTTCTATGGCTCATCATAGACACTCCAACTGATAAAATATTTGCTTCATGTTCGTTCTCAAGGCCTATTATCTTTTATCTAGTTTTGCTATCATTTAAATACATTTATTAAAAATTTGCCAAAGCCGGGACCAGCAGTTGGTGTAATGGCTATGTCGCTGGGCTCCCACGTAGTCGACCATGGTTTGCGTCCTGGAGCCGGTGGCTTAAACTCACGCCGGGTGCATGTGCATGTGTGCCCAAGATCCTGAGAAGAGAATGGAGGAGAAGGGATTGCAGCATGGCCATCCCCCCTGGGGGATGATTTCTCGCTTTCTGTCTCTCTGTCTCTCTCTGTCTGTCTGGCGAGCGCACGCACCCTATAGCAGAAAAAAAAAAAACCTCTTAAAAAACAAAAATTTTGCCAAAGCCTCATGTGCTTGCCACAGAGAGAGAGAATCAAAGAGAAGGGAGAAAGTATTCCCCAATGGGAAATGGTCATGCCGCCCTGTCTTCTCCATTTCTCCATCTTCTCAGGCTTTGGGGCACACATGCATACATGTCAGTTTTTTTGCAGGCCATCAGGGCCAGAATTCTGGCTGTATGGAATCTGGCTTCCCTTAGTCACTAGTCCATAGGGCTGACCCTAAGTAGGTTTTTAGGTACTAACAGCAAAGAATTCCTGAGAAAGACAATGATGAACCATAAATTATAAAAATCAAACCACCAGAGTCCAATAATAAAGAAAAAATGCCAGCAGGTAATATTAGAATATAGGACAATGATTCTTGTATCTCAATAGCACAAAAGTATGTTTTATTCTATATGGCAGTTTTAAAGGCAAAGTGTTGAGGATATGGAAATGATAGAGAAGTCCTTGAAACAACATGTCATTGCCTTGAAAAGTAAGTGGTTTTAGTTATATTTTCAACTTTGATATTTTTTTAAATGCCCAAGGTGTTTCCTTTACTCAATAGTGAATGCTACACACAAGGAGAGTCTATATGTTTGCTATTTCAAAAATTTTGGGTTTTTTCCAAACAAGTACTGTATCATAGACCAAGTGTAAATCCGTATTTCAAAAGCCCTACATAAAGAGTATTGTCTAAGTCACTAAGGCTTGCAAGACAGAGGAATAAAGTTTATATTACATGTGGAAATTCCATTCAGTATAATTTAATGGAAACAGTAGGGTCTTTGGTGTCATTCTAAAGTTTGAAATCTGTTTCCTTCTTTTTCTAGCTATGTGGCTTAGGGCAAGACAGATAATATCTCAGGCCATCCTTGCCTGAGAAAGAGCAATCATAACTACCTTCCTAAGTTGATGTAAACATCCCACGAAATAAGATAGGTTCTCAGTACAGCTATTAGAACTATTATATTATAAAAGGTGAAATAAGTTAGTTTCGTACGGAAGGAATTATTCTTATACTAGTAAACAGTATCTTTCTTCATGTTTTGGCAGCTTAAATTTTGATACAAGTTCCAGTTATGACAGAAAACACAACTCTGGTTAAATTAGATAATTTTAAGTGAAAAAAGTTTATATCATTAGTAAAATATCATATGTGATTTAGTAACTTACTTTTTACTTTTTCAGAGCTTAACATATGCCTCAAAATTATTACTATTGAGTAAACTAAGGCATTTAGGTATAGTTAAGGTACTGATTTTTCAATAATATTAATGTAATAAATGTTATCTTGTGCAAAGAAATCTTAGTAATTCAGATTCTGATCAGTAGTAGAGTTGCAGTTGTGTCAAATTTTCACCCCTTATTAAGACAAAAAGGAGGGACCAGCAGTTGTTGTAATGGCTATGTCACTGGACTCCCATGTAGTCGACCATGGTTCGAGTCCTGGACCCGGTGGCTTAAACTAATGCCAGGCGTATGTGTGTGTGTGCCCAAGATCTCAAGAGGAGAATGAAGGAAAAGGGATTGTGGTCTGTCCATCTCCCCTGGGGGGTGATTTCTCACTTTCTGTCTTTCTATCTCTATCTTTCTGGTTAGTGCACATGCCCTATAACAAAAACCTCTTCCCCTCCTAAAAAAAAAAAAAAAAAATATAT